TTTAGGAAAGTGGCTTCAGTTGTCAGTAACGTGACAAATAAAAATGGTTTTATACGTAAATAAAACTGGAAGTTGCTTTACTATTAAACCAAAAGATTATTTACAATAACAAGGCTGTTTATTAAATTATTTGTAGTTCAAGTGACTTACTTATTTATCTTCGTACTAGCTCTAACTAATCTACATATAGATAAATAAGTAAGACTTTAATTTAATATGTTTATAAGTTCTAACTGCTAAGTTTTTAGCATACACTCTATGGTATGTAACTAATGTCTAAATCCATAGTGTTCTCAGAATATCTCCGGTGAAAGATGAGATTAAAAATGTAGTCAGAAAACACTATGAACGAATTTGAGATTTAAAAAATAGTATTTCTCCGCATTATTTGTAAATTATATTTCAAATTATATTGTAAAATATTTTTTTAAAAAAGTTTTAAAATGTCTTGAAATTGGTATAATAGAATATATATTTAAACTAGATAACCCGACAAACGTTGTTTTGCCTTATAAATTATTTCTAGTTTCTAGATAAATTCTAGATAAAAAGTAACTTACTTATTATAAGTGTGTAAGTATGTGGTATATGCATGAAATAGGCATGGAGCGCTATGAACGAAAAGGAAAATAAAAATAACAAACGCCAAACAATATTTATTTTAAGTTATTATAGTTTATTTATTAAATTATTAATTTAAAATCAATAGATTTGTATGATACCAAGTTCCCTGGCAACAACTGTTGTATCTTCAAATTTAAATTGTCTTGGATTGACTGTAAATATTAATAATGATAATGGGCCAGTAACATTAACCAACAACAGTCGAAGATAAAAGCACTCAGTGTGTCTTGGATTAACTGTAAATAAGCGTTCGATTTAAATAAATTGAGACATGCATCAACTGGTGAAACTTGCAGAAAAAATTTTTCTTTTTCAAAAATATAAACAAAATTTATGTCAAAAAAATAAAAAATTTTTTGTTAAAGCAACAAGGATATTTTTGCTGGGTAGGGATACCATAATCACTTTAGCGGTATGAAAAATAGATAGTAGCCGATTCTCAGACCTACTGAATACGCATATAAAATTTGGTAAAAATCGGTAAAGCCATTTCGGAGGAGTACGATAACTAACATTGTGACATGGAAATTTTATATATAAGACCGCAAACAGACATCGTTTGGCCTTGTGACTTATT